GGAAAATTTCCTCACCGTCAAAACCCTAGTTTAGGGTAGGTGGTACATTATCTTCAAATGCAATCAACCTTATACCAGCACTTACTGGACATTTCATTTCTAAACTGCCACAATACATACAATGGCCATCATAAAAATTTTTGCCAGAATCACAAACTTGCTTTAAGCACCGCTCATTAGATATTTTACTGTGTTTGCAAGTTTCAAGAAGCGCATTACGCATTATGATTCATCTGAACTAACTTCATCTGTTGCAAAAGTATCTGTTTTCAAAATGCAGACTGTTCCTCTTCTCAGCTCAAATACTACCTACACCTGCAGGTGCGTTAGGGTTTCATTGTGGTTAATATATTCAACAGTGGGGACAACCCAGTGACTCAGAAAGAACACAGAAAGTCCAGAAATCTTCATTTACTAAAATCATGATCTTTCTAAGCATAGAGATGACTCAATGTGACTGTGTTTGCCTACTAAGAGGAAGTTCCTCATAAGAAGGAGAAGTACAGTTTGACTTTTATCTGAGTGAATATCAGTAGAGTTGTGTCTGCAAATGTTCAAGCAGCAGAGAGCGGTTTCACAATGTGATCGGCAGCTTCCTGTTTCTGATGAGTGTACATGGGGGCACGTGTCTGTATGTAAGACACTAGAGAATGTCTTCTAAAACCTAAAAGCTTCTAAAATGTATGTCACTGTACCGCTGGTTCAATGTGAAACTAAATGTCTGATGACCAAAATACCTTACCTTTCATCTTACTAAAACCCTCTATTACTCACAACTCTTTCACTGACTATGAGTTTGACTGTTTGAGACTCTCTTTCCTGTATGTTATAAGAAAAGAGAACCCACTAAAGATGCTTTCACATCTTCTTTTTTGGCAACAGAAGAAAAGTCAAAATGAAACCAAACTTTTACTTGTACAAACATGCTCTTAGTAATTTGATGCCACTTAGGCAACACAGGCTTTTGGATAATACATCCATTCATACATTTTCCAAACCACTTGGACTGCTGAAGCCTATCCAGCATCTCGGACCATAGGCAGGAAAAGACCCTAGATGGATGGCCAGTCTATCAAAGCTATTTGATAATGTTAACCAATAATCATTTAGGCATTATTTTAGCAAATTCATATCCATGCTACAACACCCATATTTTATGTTCCAATCCATTTCTGCCCTACAATAGTTCTCATTGAATACCGTATCACTCTAAAATACGCAACGTTATGAATGTAAAACTGATTGCGAATTGCAAATCATGTTGACTTTAAAGAGATAATTAAAACAAACAACAACAAACAATTTAGAAAATTGTCTCTAGTCCATAAAATAAATGTCACTGGGGTTCAGTGTTGTTTTGGACCCCATTGGGTTTCATTGTATGAGCAAAAACACATCTTGGTAACACTTAAGTATAGAAAGCAATTCTCACTATTAACTAATTGCTTATTAACATACATATTACTAGCCTATTGGCTGTTTATTAGTATTTATAAAGCACATATTCTGCATGACCATATTCTATATCCCTAATCCTACTCAATACCTAAACTTAACTATTACCTTACTAACTATTAATAAGCAGCAAACTAGGAGTTTATTGAGGTAGAAGTTGCAGTTAATAGTTAAATAGTTAAAATAAAGTGTGACCCACATCTTCTTTTATGTTTGTGTTTAGTGTGAAGTATGTCTTTAAGTTTTAAGTTTGAATTACTTTACTTGAAAACAGCTGTACAGAGGAATGGGTGACGCGGTGATCTGCATATGAGTAAATTTGTGGTATATGTGTGTGTGAGAGTGGGTGGGAAGAGTATGGTAAGATGTTACAGCAAAAAAAAGAGCAACATAGGCTAGCCACTAAGTGGTGAATGACAACTCTGCTTACAAACATCAGATGTTAGGTCTCACACTCCAGTGTCTCTTTGACTTGGCCTGAAGATCCACTAGTGCAGTGCAAGAGTGAAAACCAAGAAAGTTAACAGCCTCTAAAACATTTGTCAATGGTCTCCAAACAATGGGAAAATATAACTCCATAAACTAGCCGAATGCAAAATAATGCTGCACATCAGCTAATTCGCATAAAAAGGAACTAAAAATTATAAAAAGGAGAACATTTTTATGCGGTTCTTTCAATAAGAATGAAATTAGAAGCACAATTTTTAATAGCCCCTCAGAGGAAAGCCTCTGCTCTTTGTCTGACTGACACAAACAAGGGCAACATGGCCTGTGTCACTTTGCCTTCAAGAGTCTGCTGACTCTTTCTCCTCCAGCAGCTGTCAATCACCTTCAAATGTCACACTTTTATGAGTCTTCGAGGCCAGCATCTGCTGAAAAGCATCAGGGCAGGGGGAAGTGGAAGTTGACAATGCTGCGAAGCATGGGGTTATCATGATTTCATTAGGATTAGGGCTGTGCAATATATCGAAATTATCGAAATATCGCAAATATACATATCGCAATCATATATATATATATATATATATATATGGCACAAGATAGTTATAGAAGTTCACAGAACTGACTCAGCAACAGCATTATGGTATCGCATATCGAATATCACATTGTTTAATGAGTTATAGCATATCGCATTTTTCTTCAATATCGCACAGCCCTAATTAGGATGTAATATTTTTCAACACCAAGTTGCATTTGTGTAACAGAGCTTGTGTAAAGGTTGGCAAGAATGACTTCTTCTAAATTTTTCCATTTAAGGTGAAATGAAAACAACAGTGTATTACAATGATATAATTCTTACTAACTGAAATGCACCTTTAAGTCAAGTCATAGTGTATATAATGACAGTACAGAGGGGATTCATTAAACTCAAATTGGCAAATCATTTATATTCTTTTTAATTCTTTGAGAAGCCACCCCCGAAGTGAGCTTCGAATGCACGAAGGAAAGGGTTTTGGAAGAAAGAGTTTATTCAGCAGTGTGGCTTCTGCTCAACATGCTGTAAATTATTACTGTTATTTGTGTATAGTTAATTAACATTCTGATTCACCCTGGATAAATGAAGACCATCCTGCAGCCATTTTAAATGGCAAAAAATATTTCATGGTCTTTATATATTGACCTGATTTTGTAATTTACACAAAATTACAGCCATCCTTGAGAAACCTGTAGGACCAAATTAACAAATTACTTCATTCACCATTTCCTAGCGTGATGTTTTTAACATAGTATGAAAAAGCAAACTCATGGTAACAAGAAAACTAAAACTTCAGCAGATCTGACATAAAATAATATCATAAGATACTAAAATGTCTTCTTAATAATAATAATAATAATAATATAATGACTGTTTAACAATAATTAATAATACTCCTCACATTCATGATGTAGACCAATATAATCCTTAACGTAAACAGCAATGACCCTTTTTTGGCAAGACTTACCTCTCTCATAGACTCTCATAACACAACAACACTCTTCTTTATTACGCTCATTATCTGAAGAACACAGTGTTTGGGCTTGCAAAGAACGCTTGGTGAGGAATGAATTGTATTAAGACTTGCCCAATCCTTGTAGAACATACAACAACAAACTAGAGAAAACATAACCTGTCTCAACTCAGTCTTATAAACTGATCATCTGAGGACAAATATTGCAAGACTAAAAGCATAAAATCTAACTAACCATTTCATGGGAGAATTTATAAGCAAGTGCAAAAATAAACAAAGTGTTGAAGGAATGAAAATAAGTGTGTGTAAGATAATATGTGCAGGTGTTAAATCCTGTCCTTCTTTCAGCAGGCTATGCATGAACACAAGATTTGCACAAAACCAATGACATAGAAAATGACTTCACATGGATGAGCAATTTGATTTCTTTAGAAGAAGAAATGGTAGATCACACAATCTGCCTGACCATGACATTAGCCTGGGTCTGTTTTTGCCTGACAGAAATGAAGATGCAAAAGCCTAACTTGTCCCACACCCTTTTGGGATTTAAAAGAACAGTTCACACAAAAACGTAGGGAAAAAATATTTTATTTACCCTATAGGTCACTCATTCCAAACCTGTTTTGACCTTTTAAGTCTTCTGAAGTAACACCTGAAAGATTTGTGTGAGGAATGGTCCATAATTTAGGATGTTATGCATTGATTATCTTTCCCGCTCTGTGGAAGATGTTCAATTAAACTTGTAAACTAAATTTTAATGAGCAAAGACTTGGAATATAACAAACAGGACTGCTTTCATGATACTGGAAGCTCCAGTCCCCAATTCACTGTAACTGAGTGGAAAAGAGCAACCAGGACATACTGCAAAACTTCCCTCTTTGTGTTACAGTAAAGAAAGTCAGTCATGGTTTATAGCAGCATTACAAGAGTAGGCCTACACATTTTCATTTCAAAGACCCATTTAATTTTCAAATTTGTTCCTATTTGTGTCTCTGTTTGGGCCTGCTTTGTGTGTTCATGGTATACAGTTTACATGTATGGTATACAGTATACATGCTGGTATACACAAATGAGAAGCTCTTAAAGTCTTTCAGAGCTTCCCCATCCTGAGAGCACATCCCAATCAAACTATTAGTCTTACTCTGAATGAATATTTAGCAAGTCAGGTTCTTTCACTCCAACAATCCCTGCTTTGATTGAAATTTCAAGACCAAATCCCAAAAGAACAACACAACCCTCTTGATGCTGTGATGTTTTGTGTGTAGTCTGTCAGCTGATCATTCAGCTGTTATCGTTACTACCAGAATAAAAACAACAAAGTTAAAGTCGAATATCACATTCCCTCTAAAATAATACAATCTACCATTTCATTCCACATCTATAGATTTTGAATTTAGATGAAACATACAAAGGGTTTTATATATGGCTTTAAGCGACGATATCCCACCTCAGGGATGTTTCCATTCATACGTGGCAATAGTACGGAAAAATCTTAAAAGCAACAGGTACACGTTTTCTAGCTGAAAAACTTTGAGAAATTGTGCAACGCTTTCAGTATACACGAGCAGACTGTGAATGTATAAAGGCGGCACTTACACAAAAGCGTGGTAGATAAAAGCCCAGGATCTTGGTCTCTCCAGCACGTTGTACAGGTAGTTCTGAATCCTCCGGTAGCGAGCGTTTCTCCGGCCGCTTTGCGCGCCGTACACCAGAGGCTTCCCGAGCAGACTCAGCCGAGCGCCCTGCTTCCCCCGCTCTCTTTCCGTGGCCGATGCACCTGTGCCGGCGTGAGATGCGGACAACAGTCCGTCCCCCGGCCGTGAACAATTGTTCTTCATCCTATTACCGCATTCCACATTATGCAATCCGTAACTTTCGGCGTGCTGCTCCGGAGAGGTGTTCATCCAGAGGCCGGAGCCGGCCTCATCTCCGCTGTGGTTGCGGGGCATGGCATCACCAACGCGGACCCAAACACGCGTGGCATGCGTACTGTTATATCTCTGGTAGAATCGACGGGAGAGCCAAGAAACTACCAAATTGAAATGTCAAAAAGACTCAAAATATACAATTTACCTCTGGTCGTGACGCGCGAACGCCACTTTCTTTGCTCCTGGTATGGACACACTTCAGTAAATGGGAGGTATATAAAGTCGCTGCTGGCGCTGACCCACGAGAAGAGCTCGTCAAAGTGACTTTATATGACTGCAGTTGAGTCTTGCGTGTGCAGCTCGTGTTACTCCAGCGCGCGCTTTTGATGTCTCTCCACTCACACGCTTGGCGTTACTGCGCACAGGAAATCAGCTGTGCCATTCTGCGCGGCGTGCGCACTCATGCTGCAGCACATATAAAGCGTTTCCTTAATATTCATGTAAATGCTCCTAGTCAGCACCCGCTATGAGTCTAAGGTATAGTCTCACACTTCTGGTAATAATAATTGAATAAACGATGTAGACATGAGAAGTTCTGTGTCATATTATTTGTCGCTTCCCCGGCTGGTAAGCTGACGGTTGAGCATCCATGCACGTGTTTACTTAGTAAAATGTTTATTTGCATAACAACTCGTTCTTGAAATCGTTAAACTGATACAGTGCGATTCCCCAGTGACAGACCCACGAGGGTTCCTTTCAGGAATCACCGTGTAAAAAAAAAATCTTATTAAGTTAATATTATTAAGAGGAGACAGTCACCTCTCAAATGATGCCAAATCAAACTGCTGAACGGCGTTTTTATATACATCACATAAAGGACCTTTCATCGTTTTCATAAAACATTCATTTTATTGCAAAATACAGCTTCAGATCAGAAATCGAGTTTGCTTGAGGAGGTAACCATAGCAACAGTGTATTAGGCTAATGTCGCTTTCCGGATTCGCTACAGTTGGAAAACAACAACAACAACAATAATCATAATAATAGCCTAATAAATATTATACAAAGCCAGTTCAATATTTGCGCCAGAGCTCAACAAATTGGGCCCATGAATGATCCCTACCAACAAAAATTCGCAGAATGAGTAGGCTAATAAGCATGATTCGCACTCTGAATAAATTGAAAATAGATTCTAATCGATCGCTTTCCGGATTCGCTACAGTTGGAAAACAACAACAACAACAACAATAATCATAATAATAGCCTAATAAATATTATAAAAAGCCAGTTCAATATTTGCGCCAGAGCTCAACAAATTGGGCCCATGAATGATCCCTACCAACAAAAATTCGCAGAATGAGTAGGCTAATAAGCATGATTCGCACTCTGAATAAATTGAAAATAGATTCTAATCGAATTTTGTCTCTAATAAAAGTTTCCTTTCAAATAAAGACTGCTAACTATTTAGGCACATTTCCCCTTTTATCCAGAGCCTCGTAGTAGGCTATAACAACTGTCAGACAGCCCATGTGACTAAATCCTAAATAAAATCCACACGAACACTGTGTTTTCTGTGTGGGCATGCTCGCCCTCCCCTACAGTTAAACTCTGAACTCCTGCTTTATCATAACGATCCATCTGTGAGAAGAAGAATTGGACAACATGCTTATTCGTCTTTTTATCTTCGGGAACTCCGACATCGTTAGTAATATGCAAAAGAGCAATTTAAGTCTATTTGATTGTCAAATTAGACGTTCTTAAGTTTAACGGTCACTGATGGACCAGACTGCAGTGCAGGCGCTTCTTCCATCGGTTTTATTAGCTTCAGTCGCACTTTTCCGTCATGAATCCCATACAGCAGCAAGTGATTGGGAAACGGTGGCTTTGTGTTCTTCCCTTGACCGCTGTGTTTTCTTTTTAGTGAGCATTGTGTGTTGCGGCATTAAGCAACATCTTGTGCTGGATTTGCATGTCCGTATAAATAATTGACCAGTAAAGACGGTGAATACAAATTCAGTTGTTCAGATCTGTTTTCCACCATTTTTTAAATACCAAAAACCATTTAACATTGTTTCAGGACTCAGCATCACAATAGCACCTACATTTGCCGGAAAGTGATGATTTACATGTGGCTCATCATGGGCTGCATTCCATTTGCTTCTCAACCTATCCAATGACTCAGAATCCAGCATGTATGTAAACAGTATGCGAAGTTCCAATCGTCTACATTAGAGACATAATTACCCTCAGACTCACATTCATTCTAGCTCATCAAGGGCTAGAAATATAGGCTACAATTCACCATCTGCGTGCTACTGGTGTTAATGAGACTTAGGTTACTCTCTTATGCGTTTTATATGGTGAGAAACTTGAGAAAATGATCCAGTAAAGCCCACAATGGAAATCAATTCTGCTTGCCATGACCTCTGTTGCTGCACCCAGCACCATCACTTGCCATCAGTCATGAGTGGAGCACTGGGGTCATTGGCTGAACACAGGGACATGTATCAGGCTAACTGCTGTGACGCGAGCTGGCGAGGCAACGGGGAAGGACATGCAATTATGTGGCTCTGCAATAGACGACAATACAGGTTAAGTGAATTGCATATAGTTACTTGTTTGTTTTAGTCGGAGTTTGTTGGTTAAATTGGATGGTTAGTACCCTACATTAATAGGCTCTGGTTACTTGTAGCCTATCTCTGTAGTAGTAGACTGACGTGGACATACTGGTTCTTGATTTGACAAATTTACTCTAAAATCTGCGGTCTAAAATTATGGCAATAATTGCATAATTCTTCTTTGACCGCAGGGTTAAGTCTGAGCATTGCAAAGAAAGCGAGTCCTGGCTGGATGCTGAGAGTGCTGAGTTCACGATTCTCCAGTCTCCACTGTAATCACACGAACCGAATCTCTGAAAAAGATTCTAACAATCGTCTGCCCTCTGCTGCTGAGTGCAAGGATAACTCTCACGACGCCATTCTGTCAGCATTGGGATTGCAATAGAGCAGACCGACGTAAATTGCCACAAAGAATATATAAATAGCTATATTTCAGCAACTATAAAGATTTGAGTCAAAAGTGCTATAACAATGTTTTCTCGAGCAGCGGTTTTGTTGTGGTTTTGCAAAGACCCAATTCAAACCACTTACAGTATGTTTCAAAATAAATCTTTATTCCAGACTGAATCCAGTATGATAAAACAAGTCACATTTCTGTGAGGCAAAGTTGTCACATTTGTTTGAATGTTCGAAACTGAAACAATTACAATACTTATTAGCCAAAACAATTATCTGAAATATTTTAATATTTTTTGTTACCCTGGACCACTAAAGCAGTCATAAGGGTCAATTTTTTAAAGATTTATAAATAAGCTTCCATTGATGTGTTTTTTTAGGATAGGACATTATTTGGCCGAGGTACAGCTATTTGAAAATCTGGAATCTGGAAATTCGTACTGGACATCAAAATATTGAGATAATTGCCTTTGAAGCTGTCCAGATGAAGTCCTTAGCAATGCGTATTACTAATCAAAAATTCAGTTTTAATATATTTTGACTGAACTGACTTAGTGTCCCACCCATGAATGACACCTGTGATGTTTTATACCTATTTAAATGATGCAAAAAAAGCCTTTCCACTTGATTTTTAATGTATTAATTATAAACACACTGGTTTGTAGAGGAAATAACTTAACCATTTGTTATTCTTCAAGTTATTATTTATTTTGGCTATAAAATACGCTTACATTTTGCCTTGCAAAATAAGGTGGATAATATAAAAATGAATGACAGATTCTTAACACCGTGACAACATGTTCCATTATTGGGCAAGATGCGTGACAACTAGCTAGCCTCCCACATGTATTAGCTTCCCATAATGCTGCTGTAAGTTGGATGATGTCATGAATGAGACTTTAATTTCTCTGTATTTTGGTTTTCTTTCCACTCACATAGCCTACACTTATGCGCATATAGTATTATTGTGAGAAATTATAAATATTTTATGTTTTTGCTATTGTTGCACTTATGAACTGTGATTGGTGGAAAATGGATGGAAACTTCCTGTGGTCCTCAGAAAGGTCATGAATGGGGTCATATACAAGACAGATTGCATACAGATGTTATTGCTCCTAAACAAAATCTTAGAGGGTACTGGCCAGAGCCAACATTATAGAAAAGCACTATTAGATGATTAAATATATGGTCAGAAATGTTGGAAGTATAAGTGCAGGTCAAAAGCAGTGATTACTTTTATTTATTTTCAGACTTTCTCAAATCTGGGGTAATATATGGGCTTAAGTCTGTTTGTCTAATCACTGTTGATAAATAAAACGTTTCATGAACAAGAAAAGAACAAACATTGGGTTGAAATTTCTTTCACACACTTTTTTTTATTATTTGGAAATAATAAAAATGAACTCTTTTCATTTTTTTTCAAATATAAAACATACACATCGTATGAGCCACACCTGTATACAAACAGAAATGTTGCAGTGAATACTTTTTCTTTTTCATCATCTCAGTGGAACACATACTAGAAGTTGTAAACAGTCAGCATTGTTTTTCTCCTCTACCCAAGAATACTGATCAAGTAAAAGAAACACCTGTCTCTCATGAAGAAAAACAATCCAAATTTTCTGATAGCAGAGGTGAAGAATTTGGCTCGAAAGCACAGAGAAAATGACGATCTGGCTACAGCTTTAGAGCGGAGTGGTTCGGCCCTCTAAAAGTGACAGTGAGAGCTCTAGATTTGGACCCATATGATAAGAAAGGTGTCCGCTCAGCGGTCCCTTATATTGGGATGGTTGTTCTCAAAAGTAAGCCTTGGCCCCTTTGCAAATATGGCTTAACCACATGGTCATCTCATATTTACAACACATG